ATGCTTTTCTAGGGGGCTAGTACCCTCTCTTCTTCCTCCTTGGCATCAGAGATGTGTCACAGTCTTTCATTCCAATCTTTCTATTTGTTTCCCTTAGACATCATTTCTTCCCATCTGTATAGGACCTCACCATTTTAGCTGATAAACAGCAACATGGAGAACAGATCCTCCAGACCCTTCCTTGGTATCAGCTGTACTTGGGACGCATGTAGCTAGTTCTTATGTGTGGCAGAAGGATAAACTAGATCACTCTCTGTTTAGGGAGCTCCCCTTTTGTTTTCACACCTCTCACGTAGAGCCAGAGGTGAGCTGAATTACCGGTCCTTCTGGAATACCCCTAGCAGCTGCCTTAGCTAACCTGTTGCTTTGTTTCTAAAGCATTCAGCCTGCTTTCTTGAATTTCTTCACTTCTACTCTCTAGGCTCATTCACTTGACCATGGACCGACTTCACATCAACTCGTTACCACTTGGAGCCAGCCCATGCCGTGACCATTCCTGGGCAACTCAAAGCACAGCCTGCTTGTCTCACTGGCTCCTTCCAGTTCCCTGTGCAGTGCTACACTGCCAGATCACTTTGTGCAGTAGAAGGCTAACCTTGACACCCCTAAAAATGACACCCTTAACCTTGAGGGTGTTGTTGGTGTCACCTCAGACCCACAGAGCTTTCTTCGGCCGTGTGTGCACACCATGTTCCCCTCGCTCACCCCGGCTACAATGCAAGTCAGAAGTGCTGACCAGGCCCTGAGTAAGGTGCAAGCTGTGGCTGAGGAAGGAAAGCGTGAGGGCCCAAGGCCACAGGTCAGCTTGGCCTGGATAGCAGGCCTCAGAGTTGCAGTGCCCACCAAGCAAGGGCTAGCCTGTTGTATGGCACGTGGCTAAGGTTGTGGTTCTGGCTCCCCCACTTACTGACTGGGGGTTATTAACAACTTAATCAATCTCTAAGACCTCCATTTCCTCATCTGTGGGAATTTCATGAAGCAGTTAGTGTTTTGTGATTGATTGTAACTATTTTTCCAGTCCCGGGATCTAGAGCAGGCAGAATGGGGACACTCGCCTCTCTGAGGGGAGTTGACTGCAGAAGTGGAGGAAGGAGATGGATAGGACAGAGAGGAGTTCTCTGGACCTGTTCCAGCGCTGGGCTGCCCCTCAGGGCCCAGGGGATGGGCTCAGTTTTCCTCCCACACTCACTGGGTATTTGTGTATGTTTCTCTTTATTTCTTTCCCTCTCTCCCTCCCTCTTTTCCTCCTTTCTTCTTTCCCTTTCTTCCTTCCTTTATTTTTTTTTTATTATTTTTTTTAATCTTTGAGTTGCCTCTTCTGCCTGATAGTTCCAGGGTGGTTTGCAGCTTGAGTGTTGCAGTGATGTCATTTTTTGTCTCACACAAGATGTGCTCCTGCTGGTTACCCATGCTCATGACCCTAAATCCAGTCTGCGTCACTGGAGGTGACAGGCTGAGGTGCAGACCTACCAGGCAGGCACAGGCTGGTAACAAGAATGTGCTCCAGGCGGAGAGGATCTGTGATGATGTTGCAGGCATCTGGGCCAGTGCCCACCATGATAATTCACTCTAGGTTTTCTGGGCCCAGTAGAGGGATGTACCTGCAAGATGCCAAATAGTCTGAGAGCCCCTTGCCACTCCTCAGACTATACTGGAAGAGTTTAGTGCCTCTGAGTTGGTGCCCACTGAGCATGCCAACTGATACCTGCGGGAGACTCCCACAGGTCCAGGGGTTCCCTCAGGTGGAGGTGGCGTCGGCGAGGAAAAGAATAAAAATGCGCGGAGACACAGGAGCACTTTTTCAAGAAGAGAAGTGTCTCACTTTATTTTTACAGCATGTCCCTTTTATACTGGGCAGTTGACCTTTTCCAGAGTTAAACTTTTGCCCTTTTGGAAGTTGTTTTTCTCAGAGCTTTTCTTCCTCCTGATGTTTCTGTTACAGGGTACAGCCTGACCTGTTCTATGCTAATGACCAACTTATCCTAACAATGTTTCCATTTCTACCAATAATGGCCAGAGCTGAGTTCCTGCCTTGGTGCTTAAAGAATGTTTACTACTTAGCAATTATTTCAAACACGACTGGCTAAACAGGATCTTAAGAATTATAAGGTGCATAACTTGTCTATCCCTAAGAATCTATCACTAAGAAACTAACAGTAAAACAGAATTATCATAATATGTCCAAAACTCACTTATTTGGTTAAAGTAAATAAAACAATCAATATAAGAAGGGGTGTAAGATCTTTATCCTACTGGGGGCATCCAAAGGGGAATTTAAATTTTCCAAAACATAAAGCAGTATCTGTTTCTCAGTCAGAGCTTCAGAATTTGTCACAATAGCAGTGCGCTTGGCCATGTCAGACACTGCGGCGCAGCCGGCTCCCAACAGATACCCACACGGCAGCACCCAGGACCAGTAGCCAGGGTCCCTGCCACACAGGACAGACATATTGCGCTACCTGCCTCCCAGCATAGAACACCTGTCATTTAAGAGGTATGGGATCTGATATAGGGTCCAACCTGGCTCCTCTTAACTCTCACCTCCACTTCTAACAGCTCAGGCCACTTGAACCCTTTTGTGAGCCTAATGGCACCCTAGGCTTTGGAACAATACTGGCCTTGCTCTGGACTGCTTACAGAGGATTGGCAGCAAGTCGGCCTGGCTGTGGGTTCTGTTTCCACATGGAGGTTGTGTTCTCATGCCTGGGTTTCCAGCTTTGGCTGAGGCCCATCTTATACGTGCATCTGTGATCCCTGCTTGGTACCCCACCGTCACAGAGCTCTGCTTTACTTTCATCAGTCTTCTGAAGCCTCCCCAACATGAAATCCATCCCTAGAGTTTCTTTTCCCCATCTCTCTGTGGATTTATTTATCTATGTGTCAATTTATTTATTTTTGTCACAGCTTTGTTGAGATATTCACAGACCATTATAATTCACCCATTTAAAGTTTACAACTCAATGGTTTTTAATATATTCAAAGAGTTGTGCAGTGATCACCACAATCAATTTTAGAACATTTTCATCACCCTAAAAGGAAACACCATACCCACCAGCAGTCACTCTACCTTCCTCGAACTCCATCCCCAGAGCTAGGCAACCACCAGTTTATTTTGTGTCTCTATGGATTTTCTTATTCTGGATTTCTCATGTAAATGGAATCATACAATATGTGGTCCTTTGTGACTGGCCTCTTTCACTTAGCATAGTGTTTTCAAAGTTCACCCATGTTGTATCATGTATCAATATTTCATTTATTTTTATGGCTAAATAATATTCCATTACATGGAAATGCCACATTTGTTTATCAATTCATCAGTTGATGAACATTTGCTTAATCCAAGGTCATGAAAACTTGCCCTTGTGTTTTCTTCTAAGATGTCTATAATTTTAGCTCTTCCATTTAGGTTTTTGATCCACTTCAGGTTAATTTTTGTATATGTTGTGAAGCAGTGGGTCAAATGCCTTTTTTTTGCATGTTTTCCCAGTAAAATTTGTTGAAAACACTATTCTTTCTTCCACTGAATTGTCCCCCTTGTTGAAAGTTGAATCTTTAGATCAATTTGGGGAATACTTAACAATATTAAGTTTTCTAATCCATGAATATGGGGTGTCTTTCCATTCTTTCCCTGAATCTTGAAAATATCAAATGTCACGTAACTGTGGAACTCTGTGTCATTGTGTATTGCCCATCCCTGGAAATTTAGCCACCTTGTTTTACCCTGTAAGGTCTCTTGCTTCTATTCCCCACAGGCATCTGGCCATATTTTGCCTCCCTGACTGGGCTTCCATCTAGTGCATCTGCCCCAACCAATGGAGGCACCTCATTATCAGGCCCCAATTCAGATTTGTCTGGACCACCCACTGTGTACCAGTCTTTTAGCTCTCAGTCTCCTCCTTGAAGAAATGAGCAAGGTGAGAGAGGATTCTTTTTGTGGGGAGAATTTTCCAGTGGTATCACTTCCCTGTGGTACAACCAGAGTTGGCAAATAGAAAAACACACACGTGAATTGTGCCACCATATTTAATCAATAAATGTCCAGGAGAGGTGTACAAATACTCAAGAGGGCCTCAGTATCCTTGAGGTGGGGGTTTCTGAGAGACTAAAGGTAGAACAGCTTGAAGTGACTCAGGTTGGGACAAGCGTACATTGTCAGGGACAAGCTGAGTCAGCTTACCAGCACACTCTCATTTATGGAGTGTATACAAAGCCCTCACAGCGGGATAGCCTAACAGGTCCTTGAAACTTCTCTGTGTCTTCTTCCTTCTCTCCCCTTCTGGACAATCAGAGATATGTTGTTTTTCCTGCCTGGGACTTAAGTAGTTGGCTGGTCCAGGGTGCAGGGTCTTGAGCCTGGATGCCTTCCATGCCTGGGCAGAGGGTGGCACATGTCACATCCTCAGGCTTTTGCATCTTTCAAAGGCAACTATCATTTCAGTCTCCTACCTGAATATTTCAGCAACAGGTGATGGCTGCACATGATCATGCTGGGGCAAATGTTTCCAGAAAGCTGAGCATCTGTGCACTTAGGCCTCCACTGTTTACAGAGCTTGTAAACAATGCAGAGTTAGACCACCATACACCTGGTGCTGATAGGAATAAAGACGGGCTGGGTTTTCGTTTGAATTTTCCAGTCTAAGTCTGTAGGGCACAGCTTCAACCAAGCAGGAAAGAAAACCTTACTGGATGCCAACCGTGCCAGTGGGAACTCAGAACACCCACGTGTCACCAGGAGCACCTTAGGTTTATCAGCCTCTCTTTCCCCGAGCTGCATTTTATTATCCTAAGCTACTGTATCTATAAACATTCCCCAAGCCTTCTTTTCTACCTGTTTTAGGTTAGCTTAGGCTGTGCTGCAGTAACAAACCAACCCTGGACCCTCACTGGCTTTACATATTAATACACATTTCTCACTCATGCAGAGTCTCCTAGCCATTGTGTTTGGGCCTTAGGGGAGGGCAGTGGCCACTGGAAATTTCTCTGTCGGACTGACGATGAAATCCTTGCGCCTCCAGGTGTGGCTCTGCGGGGGCAGCATGGAGGTCCTGCCTTGCTCGCGGGTGGCCCACATCGAGCGGAAGAAGAAGCCGTACAACAGCAACATTGGCTTCTACACCAAGAGGAACGCTCTCCGGGTGGCTGAGGTCTGGATGGATGATTACAAGTCTCACGTGTACATAGCATGGAATCTGCCCCTGGAGGTAGGGCCCGGCAGCCCTCCCCATCACCTAGAACGCGGATCCTTGTGTTTGACAGGTCACTGATCCCTTTAATAAGCTGAAGTTTCCTCCCCGGAAATAGGCTCATGCTTGCAAAATTATGAGTGCATTTTGAAGAGTCCACAGATCTCTGGGTTTTAGAATGAAACATCTCGAAATCCATTGGCAAAGATGACAAGGGTCTTATCGTGTTAATCCCAGTCTTATACTAATCTGAATGCCCCGCTCCTGAACACGCATTGTGTCCAGAAGATTCTGGTCGAGCTTCTGGCAGCAGACCCTGTCTTCTGCTCTCGCTGTGTGCCCTCCTCTAAAGCTCCAGCTCTCCCAGGACTTGTGCCTTCACTGTAGCCTTGTTTCCATGGCTATTAAACCTCCCTCCACATTCTGCCCAGAATATAGCCTAGGAAAATTCCTGTGTTACTGCAACCCTTTGAATCCCAGCTCTGCCACTTACTAGTTGTGAGATCTTGAATAAATTTACTTATATTGTCTCTGTACCTTGGGTTCCTCAGCTATAAAATGAGGGTAATAGCAGGTCCTCCTTCCTCGCATGGTTGGGAGAACTAAATCTAAAATACTGAATCTAAGTAGAGGTGACATACTCAGAGCAGTGCCTGGCACTGGACATGGAAGTGTCGGTGAGCATTGCTTGTCCTCCACAGCAAAGTGGGGTCACCTGAGCCCTGAGCCACAGCTGGACTGACCTCCTCAGCCAGAGCACCGGAAGGTATCTGAGCCATGCTTTGAGAGAATTGCTTAAAATTGCCCCCACTGAGAAATGGGATCCCCTGTGTTTCAGGAGGCTGGAGCCCAGAACAGCAGAAATGCAGCTGAATTATGTGCAGGTCTGTGGATAAAGAGGATAAAAGTGAAGCATTTATATCATTGCTGTTACAATTATAGAAATAATGTCCTAAAACACTGAAAACTCCCTTTGGCCATGTAGCACTTTATAGCTGTTACACTCTTAAGTGATTTTGCATGTTGTGATATGATAGGCAACATTTGTTGAGCCCTTACTATGTCCCAGGCACCAGATAAGTTCCTTATTTTCAGTATCTCATTTAGCCCTCATAACAACCTCATGACTCAGGAGCCATCTGCCTCAGTTTCTTCATCTGTATAAAAGAGATTATTAACATGTATCTCATAGGACTCCTGTGAAGCTAACAGTGAGGCTTAGAACAGAGCATAGCAAATATTAAGTACTCAGTCTAGCTTGATATGAACGTAGTGTGATGCCCATCTTATAGATGGGTAAACCAAAGCTCTGGGGTTAAGAGCAACTTGCTCACGGTCTTGCACCTAGCACATGGCAGGGCAAGGATATGAACTCTCATCTTGGTTCGCCTCTGCCCACAGCCTATGACATCAGTAGGATAGGGGTTATTTTTCCTGTTTTGCAGATGGGGCATTGTGACCTAGAATGGTGGTGTGACTTGCCCAGAGACATAAGAATCAGGGCTGTCGACAACTACCCCAGTGCTTTCTCCATCATTACTAACAACCTTGGTCCCTAATGCTGGTGTGCCCTTCCACGCTTTTCACAAATGACCATTCTCATTAATCACACTAAGTATATTAAAACAAAGAGTTCAATATTGCTGCCCAGGTTTGCCTTTGAATTTTAATGTTTGACATTTAAAGAGATTTTCCTTTGAAATCATTTGGCTGCCAAAGAGGAAATCTTAATGAGATAATTTGAACTCTTCTCCTCGGCCCCAACATGCTGCCTGGCTGCTGGCCTTTGTCGGGAGAGCGTCCTGCCTCTGCCAGTTCAAGACCATCTCACGGCTGAGTCTGTGGAGTCATATTTCAGCTACTTTATTTTCGCCGTCAGCACACAGCAGCCCATTACAGGTTCATTTCTGTAAAAACAGAGTGAATTATTCATTAGAACATCATTACAAGCTTTTCAATGGAAAATTATTTTCACTTCTGCATAAATGAACTTCACAAAGAGCCAACAAAGGGGGAAATTACACACGTGTAGAAATGAAAGACAGGAGGTGGTTTATAGGCATCTATTTTCTTGTCTTAGTCAAATAATTCCTCTCATAATTGGCTCGGATAGTCACTGAAGAAGTGTGGGAGAGACGGAGCTGGAAACATAGGTTCCCATCAGTGTGTCTCAGGGTTCCTTTCACACAGCAGTGATAAGGGCAGCTGACATTGGGGACTGTGTGCTGTACTCAGGGGACAACAGTGTCTAGCTTTGAGCCAGATGATCAAGTAGATCCCCTTAATCCGACCTTCTGAGCAAGCATGCAGAAAAATTAAGGTTTCTTTCTGATGGTTTTCCCGAGGGTGACACCACCTACCCTTCTTTTTGGCCAGAGCTCCCCAGTCAGTAATGCCCTTTGCTTCTCTCTGTTTTCAGAATCCAGGAATTGACATAGGTGATGTCTCTGAAAGAAGAGCCTTAAGGAAAAGTTTAAAGTGTAAGAATTTCCAGTGGTATCTGGACCACGTTTACCCAGAAATGAGAAGATACAATAACACCATTGCATATGGGGAGGTAATTAAGACTACGCATGCTCTCAGCTTAGATGGCTGTGCAATGGGTTGTGGATTGCTTTGATGGGGGAAAGTAAGGACCAGAATAATTTGTTCATTCCTTAATTCATTTATTCATTCAATAAGTGGTTTTTGATGGTGCAGTCCCTGACAGCAAGCCTCTCACCAACTGGTAGAGGGGACAAATGTAATGTTACAATGGGGCATAGGCCATCCTTTGGCCTGGGGCATGGAGTACTTGATGAGTTCTGTTTGGGACATTTTGATTTTTGAGGTCCCCTGGGACCTGTAAGTGGGACATTGAATAAGAAATTGGGCATAAAGAGAGGTGGGAACTGGGTCTTTGCCCAGCACTGTGTGCTGGAGCCATTTACCACCGGAGAAAGGGTGTAGATGCTCATCTCGGATTTTCTAGGATAACATCACTTTCCTAAACATTAAAGCAGATTGACTCTTCTATTATTACAAATGCCATAAATATGCATTTTAGGAAAATTTGAAAATAATAATAATAGCAATGGACACTTACTGAGTGCTTTCCATATGCCACACACTATTCTAAGTGCTTTCTGATAAGGAAGCTGGGACTTAGAGAAATTAAATAAATTACCTAAAGTCTCACAGCCTGTAAGTCATGAAGCCAGGATTGGACATAGGCATTCTGATTCCATAGGTAATATGTACATTATGATGTATGTTCTTCCTTACTGTGTCTATATGTATGGTTTTTTTTCCTGAAAAGATATATGTTTTATATAGGTATTTTATATAGATCTAGATCTACCAGGTACCAAAAAATGTGTATACATTTTAAGAAAGGAAAACTATATTAAAATTGTAATATTTGATATATACTGATAACAAAAGATGAATACAAGTCATGTTTGACGTCTGAATTACAAGAGGTACTCAAAGTGGTTACCATCAGTGTCCAGACACTTCTGATTACAGCGAACTACTGCTTGAGCAACGTTGACCAAAGTGTCCACTTGTATACATTTTTTTGGCACCCCCGGTATATATTACTAAATATATATATATATATATATATATATATATATATATATATATATATATAATTTACTGAAACCATGTTGTCCACATGCCTAATAATTTCAAATGTTACTCAATAATATGCAGAGAATATTTTCCTGTGTCATTAAACATTTTTTTGCCACATTATCAATGGCCACATATGATGCTACCTTTTGTGTATACTTTGTTTTGCTTGAAAACATTAACATTTATGTCGTCTCCATTTTTTAAATGTAAGCACCACTGCTGAGAAGAGGCTTGTACAGAAGCCTTGTTCCTTCCTTGCCATGTATGTTTGGATGAGGAGCAGGCTCAGGGAGCTGGGTGGGTGCTCGGGACCTGTCAGAGATACCACATTGGCTCGGCATTTGGGTTTCTTCCCAGGGCTACCTGCAGCTCCCTGTGATAACCAGGCTGAAGCTAGAAAGGCTCTTTGACTTAGAGTGTTTACTTTTCTATAACTGAATTTTCCTACTTTATGCCTGATGCCTTTATTATTATTATTATTGTTATTGTTATTAATGATTTCAAGTGTACAAAACAATGTAATAGTTAGACATTTACACCCCTCACAAAGTAGTAGCCCGCGGCCCCAATCTACTACCCCTCTGACATCATATATTGCTGTTACAATACCATTGACTATATGCCTTTTAAAGAGGTAAATCAGCTCCAGGTTAAACCATCAGGGTCTGGGCGAGGTGCCCCTCCTGAGCTGGAATCTGGAATGGGAAGCTTGCAGGGCAGTCTGCATAATGGTTAGGACATGGGAAGAACCCGGAACCAGCCTACTGGGTGACCCGTGAAGACTCTGGAGCCACCCAGAACGGCTCCTCTCGGCTCCCATTCCCTCATCTGTAAAATGGGGGAAGGAAAATGCTTACTTCCTAGGGTTGTTGGGAAGATGAAACGAGCTGCGATATGTAGAGTTCTTAGAACAGTACCTGGCACGCAGCAGTACCTATTGTTAGATTCAAACTGCCTTGTCTTTTCTTCTTCAAAATAAAAAGCATGGTTTGGAGTATTTTTGTTTGGTTGGTTTTGGTTTTTTTTGTTGTTTTTTGGTTATCAAAATAAGATCAAATATGAAGGAGACATTGAAAAATGATGGGCGTTGAATGGATTATTTGTAAGACAGTTGGGTAAACTGAATCTAAAAAAAAAAAAAGTTTAGATTCTTACAGCTGACCATATCCCAAAGTGTATTTCAGATGAACCATAACATTAAATGAAAGAAAAGAAACCATAATAGAACCACACAGAAGTAGATATGAAAGGGCTTTCTAAGAATGAAAGCCGTGGAAGAAAATACAAAGGAAAATGATAATGGATCTGAGCTCATAAATATTAAAGTAACCTATAATCAACTGAATAGAGAAAAAATATGCCAAACTGAAAATATGTATGCCATAAATATTGTAGATTAATCAATAATGCCATTAATGTATAATGAACACTTCAAATTGATTTAAATAAAAAATTTAACCTAAATAAGAAAATTTTTTAAATCTCAAAAGAAAAAATAAATAAACAAGAGAAAATACAAATAGTTGAAAAACACATGAAAATTTTAAGTTTATTCCATAATCAAAGAAATTGAAACTAATTTTGAAATACATTGAGGTAGCCTTTGTCCTACTACCAAATAAACAAATATTCATTTTTGGAATATGTGTTGGTATTTTGCCAGCAAGGTCTTGGTAATATGAAAACCCACATATCCTCTGGTGAGAGCACACATTGAAATAAGCTTTTTAAAAAGCAATTTGAACCACATGTATTAAAAGGCTTACTGATAGTCATTCCACTCTTATCCTAAGGAAATAATCTGAAATGAGAACAAAGATTTGAGAATAAAATTATTCATCTCAGTGGTTTTTTGTTTTGAATAAAAAATTTTGAATCTAACTTGAAGGTTAGTTAAATATACTATATATGTACTATACTGCATATAATATAAATACACACACACACACACACACACACACATATATATGGAGAGAAAGAGAGAGAGAAAATGTAAACACATTTTAAGAAAGGAAAAAAGTGTATTAAAATTGTAATACAATGAATGACGCTAGCATTCATTTGATTAACGCCATCTTTTGAGCGAACATTACACTACACATTGCTACTGTAATTCAATTCAACTTCGAAAAGTAATACATCTCTTAAAATGTGTACATTTTTTTGGCACCCCTGGTGTATTAATGGTTTGAAATATTTTGCAGCCATTTCAAAAGGAATGTACAAAAGTTTAATGGCATGAGAAAATATTGACAATATAATCCTCAAAAGGAAAAAGTCAGGATTATGACTTGAATTAGCTATTATTTTAAAGGGGGCAAGGTAGAGAATAGTATTGGGGAATGGAGATGATAGTTTTCGTTACCTCTGAGTATAGTAGGACAGGCAGTTTTTGTATGGGCACTTTGTCATGTTTCCCAATTATCACTAGTGTTTATGTAATATAATTAGAAGAAAAAATAACACTAACAAAGGAAGAATAAAAATGGAAAAATGCTAGAAGATGAGCAGGGCACAGTTCCACAGGCTGTGCACTGCATGACCCCAGGGCCTGCCATGCACATGAAGTACAGTGTAAATAATGTCTCTGGAGCTGAGCAGTGAGGTGGCCTTGGAGGTAACATAGAGCTCATAGTTTGATTTTTGGAGAGGGGAGGTCTTATTTTTGCAAAATTCCCTATCTCTTTTAAATAATAAATTTAATGCATACATTCTGTGGGAAAATATAAAGATGAAAACAAAACTAACTCAAATTACCTATTCCCAGATATGATCATTGTTAACATTTTCGGCATTTGCTATTACGCCTCTGTTTGCTGAGCTCATCAGATACTAAAATACACTTCAGATGGACTATAGCATTAAATGAAAGAGATGAAACTCATAAAATTAGGTTTGATAACAAAACCTACCATTATTTAGACAACTCTATTTTTAACACTCACTCCTGCTGGTTCTTTTTGCCACAGCCAGGCCCCCAAGCAGTGGAAAAAGAATAAGGCAAGTGAATTCATACCATATATATGCAGTTTGCACCCTTTGTTTTTCATCTACAATTCTGTTTGAGAATCTTTCCCCAGGCCAAAGAATATTTCTGGGTTTTATGCTCCTTGCTCTTCCCTAATTTTTTTTTTTTTACCTAGCTTCTTCCTTGGCTTTTAAAAGCTTCCTAGTCATTTCAGTTGTATATGTCTTGCTCTTGATAACATTATGGTAACCTCTAATTAAAAACAAACAAACAAACAAAAAAACCAAAAACCTCTGATTCTCCAGAATGAAAGGTCAAGTGGTATGTAAGAACTTTAACACACTTTCTCCTAACCTCTTTATCAACTTTTCAGTCTTTGTTAATATTATCTGGGATTTTAGACCCAAACGTTATTACACTTTATTTGCATTTTATACCTTCTTTAAGAATCACTTTGTAGTCAAATTCAGTTGGGTGACAAAATTTACCATATTCAGACAACTGTGTTTTAATGCTGACTCCTATCAGTTCTTGTCCCAGCACCAGACCATAGTGCAGTGATGACAGGGCAGACAGACATCTCTGAGCAGGTGCATGCCCAGCGTTTCTGCCTCACCCTACATCCAGTGTCGGTGTCCAGCCCACTTAGATAATGAGTCACTTTTGCTTCATTTTTTAAATTGTATTCATGTTTATTAGCTGGAAAACCTTAAAATAATTTTTAAAGAAAGATATTTGTATGCTTTATGTCCTGACCCTTACACGTATGAGATACTGCCTTCCCATGTGCAAAGCACTTCAGTGTGCACAAAAACACTGGGCCACCAACTCTTTTGCTCAAAATGCTGTGGTCGGCTCAGACTACCCTTATGGCCTGAACCTCCCCTGGCCCCTACTTCACTTTTGCTCATATTTTTTTTCTTTAAGTATTATTTATATGAAATACAACACACATACAATGTGCATAATGCACACACGTGCAAAAATCCATATAGGCACCACCGAGGTGCAAAAGAGCTCATTGCTGGCATCACTCCCGCTTATCCTTTTGAACATGTAGCTCAGGAGTCACGTCCCCTTAGTCTCTGAGCCTCTCAGAGGGTAAGGAGGTGTTCTTGTGCCCTGGCAAGACTCAGCCTTTGCACTGGCTCGTCCTGTGTCTCTCCCTCCTGGCCGTGCACTGCCTCAGAGCAAGGTCCTTGTTAAACTTCGTGCAGTCCCAGGCTCTTACCAGGCCCTCCATAAATGTTTATGGAATACCAAATGATAGATTGGATTGCCTAAACATTAGAAACAAAATTTAGAAGCCTAGCATTCTGAAATCATGACATGGAATATGCCATAAAATTATTAATCCCTTTAATATGTGAAGAAGCACTCTTGCAAATCTATAATAAAAGCACTTGAGATCCCAGTGGGGAAATAAACTGATAATTCTCTAAAAGGGGAATAATCACTAAACATAAAACATTCCAATTTACTATTAATTGTAAATTTATAAAATAAAGATCTTTCTTTACTTCTCCAAACAATAATATTTTAAATTCCTTTATCACCTATAATTTTTATTAAAAGCTTTGTTAGACTTCATTAGACACATTTTTATCATATTGCTCTTGTATATATATAAAAAGGAAAATACATTGGTAAAGGTAGTTCTTAAATTTCATCACTTTCAAAATCTAACTCTGAAAGTTGGTTGGCTCAGAAGTTGTCTGGGTTTTTCCACCTAATTTATCCTTTGCATCATTGAAAGCATTGGCAGCAAGCAGTCCCTTAAAGCATTCATAACAGAACTATAGCTATGGTGTTGGGCTCCTATGTTAGTTTTACAGTTCCTTAGAGATAACTGGCTTGGGGGCATCTTCGGGAATGTTATGCAACATGTCTGACTCATCACTTCTCTCTACACCCCTCAACAAACTAGTAGTACTTTGGGTTTTAAAGAATGCTCCACCATTTAATTTTCCCCCCATCGATTGTTCATTTTCTTTTTTCTCTCCAGCTCTATTGAGATATAATTGGCATATCACATTGTGTAAGTTTAAGGTATGCAAGGTATTGATTTGATGCACTTATAAATTGCAACATGATTAGCACTGTAGTGTTAGCTACAACCTCCATCTCCTCATAATTACCATTTCTTTTTTGTGGTGAGAACATTTAAGATCTACTCACTTAGCAATGTACAAATATATAATATAATATTATTAGCTATAATCACCATGATGTACAATAGATACTCAGAATGTATTCATCTTATAACTGGAAGTTTGTACACTTTGACCAACACAGTATTTTTAGATGGTGAAACTCAGGACTGATAAGTATTTATGTACCTTGTGGAAGGGAATATAAACGACTTCAAAGTGTCTAGTAAACAATTGGGCCGCATGTTTTAAGAACATCAAGGTGTCTGTACCCTTTGATATAGTAATCCTAATTCTAGGATTCTAGTCAAGAAAATCTGAAATGTAAACAAAGCTTTATGCATAAAGTTGCTTATCACAGCAAAAATTGAACAAAACTAAATTGCACCCAAATTAACGATTCTGTGAAACGACTGCTAACAATCATCACTTTCTTCTGTATTTTCCAAAATACTTCAATGAGATGGTGTTGTTTTTATAATATCAGAAAAAAAGTCATTAAAAATCTGCTTAGTTGTCTGAACCTAGAAACAATTTTGGCACACAAAGGCAGATGCCTCCAGGTCTCTTATTGATTTATTCCTGATTAGTTGGTTTCCATGGAGAATATAATCTGGAAGGGACGGTGTATATATGGGGCAGACTAACATTACTGTTTTCCCACTGGTAGAGATTGCAGGGTGGTGGGTGGGATGGATGCCAATACAGAATCACAGTGCACCTGGAGGTCCAATTTGGTAAGTTCTTACAGGCTCCCAAAGAGACATGCCCAGGTTCAGAGGTTTTTCTTGGGGGCTTTTGTTTGTCCTTCCACTGGTGCATTCCAAACACCCAGGACGGTCGGTACCTGTCATTGCGTAGGTATTCAGTAAATATTTTTTTAATATATAAATAAATGTTGCTAGAACTTTGCATGATGGCAAGGCATTTATTTACTTTTTTGATTAATGTTTTTTCATGGCTCTATGCCAATAACGACCCAGGAAGCTGACCTATGATACCCAGGGTTATTAAAACCAATGTTGGTACCAAAGCCCAGTGTTCCATTGTCCAAAAGTGTCCTGAGATCATTTTTGTGCTGGGAATGGGGGAGCTGGGTAGGTTGGGGTCACAGGCAGAGTACTGGTGCCCACAGCATCCATTGAAGGGCTCTATCTTTCCAGCTAAAGTGATCACCTCACAGACTCGGGCCTTGGTTGTTATCTGGAGTATTGTGCAGCCTTCCAAGCGAGAGGCAGGGACCAAGGCATGATGGGACAGTGGGTGGGCAGCAGCCGCTCCACCGATGAACTCTGATGGGTGATGTTTTGCCTATTCCTGCAGCTTCGCAACAACAAGGCGAAAGATGTCTGCTTGGACCAAGGACCGCTAGAGAACCACACAGCAATCTTGTACCCATGCCACGGCTGGGGACCCCAGGTAGGAGCCCATCTCTGCCAGGAAAAGAGTAAATTCACTGGCCCACAGGGCATCTGTGGGACTTCTGGTGACTTCTGTTGTCCTCTATTCTGGTAGTTGTTACCTGTTCCAAGAATGTGGGAGCTTTCTGGTTGTTTCTCTGTGAGTTAGGGAAAAGATTCACAAGTGGTTGCATCAGCACAGATCAAGTGGCATGTGTCAAACTGAAAGGAAAATGCAAATAAACTTGAGAGTCATTTGCTAATAGGCAAGTATGTGCCATGTGTGTGTGTGTGTGTGTGTGTGTTTGTGTGTGTGTGTTGTAATTATAGCCAAATATACCCGCTTACAACTTCAAAGAAAGAGTTAGCAGGTTCCCCCTGAGAGCCTGATTGGCATCTCCAGCCTGCAGGGTCAGCATCAGTTTGGTGATAAGTATGACCTGGTCTGTAACTGCTCATACAAGAGCCCAGTGCCAACTGGGAAGGAGGAAGGTGCTTGCGGTACATTTCAGAGAACACAGGTGTTCTCTGGTCTCTCAGGACAACACATAAGACAACTCAGAAAGGGCAAAATGATCAACCAACAAAGTGAAAGCAGAGCCTGGTAAATGATTTTCCTTTGATGTCTTTCTGCTAGCCAATGGCATGTATGTGTGTGCACATAAAAAGCTTAGCAGAAATTCTCTAAGATTGGGAATAAACATATACAAAAATGTCATTCCACTTGACTGTCATAAAAATTTAAAACATTTTTATAACAACCAATAGTAATAAAAGACAAACTACAAATTGGGAAAACATTTATTATTCAATTTCAGAGAAGCACTAGATTCTCAGACTCTCCTATGAAAGGAAACCCCTGGACAAAATACCCTGTAAGCTCCCATCATCTCTCTCATGTCCTATGAACACACATGTTCACAGGCACATTCATATTCATACACACATACTCACACATACATTCATAAAGGCTCATGGCTTTTCTCTGCTCAAAGTACTTCGTTTTCCCATTAAGCCAGTATCTGGAAAGAAAAGAGCTGTGTTCCTTCTAACTATTACTACAAGTGGTGCTCGTATTCTAGACCCTAGAATAGCATTTCTTCAATCCGATGGGTCCACCGAAGACCAGATAGATCAAATCCTCAATCCTTTGATCCTTGTAGCCACTCTGGGAAGTAGCAGGTAGCATGAGGAAACTGAGGCATGGAGGGGCAAGTGCCTGTTGGCCAAGCAGATGAAACCCAGAACAACCTAGAACACCGAAGCACTTAAAATTCAAATCTAATCTATTTCATTCAAGATTATTCACTGAGCCCACCACCATTCACAATTGGCTAAAAGTACCCGTTGGGAGCAGGAGAATGACTGGGAAGCTTAGACTGGCTCCTTCCAACTGGGAAATGAGCATTAGCATCAAAGACAACATGGTCTAAAGAACCAGCGTCTTCATCCATTCATTTACTCATTTTCTCAACAAATATGTCTTGATCACCCACTACAGATGCTAGTCACAATTGTATATGACAGTTGATAAGATTTCATCCTTGCTCTCAAGTGGTTTACACTGGAGGAGGAGACACAAGCAATGAGGCAGGAAATCTACAGCACAGTAAGTGTGGAAAGAGCAAGAAGCCCAGGGTGCTAGGTGCTGGGAGACAGAGGTGGCCCTCTTTGGTGGGCTTTAGAATATGAGAGGGGAGGAAGTGCTGAGAGGAAAGACCGAAGCCAGGTAGAGGCAGGCCTCCATGCCCCAAGGCACTTCAGTCAGCAGAATCACCACAGAGGCTTGTGAAGCACCAGCTCCTGGGCCCCACCCCAGAGTTTGAGTTAGGAGGTAGGGGTAGGGCCTGAGATTGTGCACTTCTAACAAGTTCCTAGAGGATGCCAGTGACCTGCGACTTGACCTTGAGGGCAGTGGGAAGCCATTGAAGGGTTCACCTGGAGGTTGGTCTGTTCAGACTGTGCACAGAGAGAGGGACGGTTGCTGTGGAGGAAGACATCCTGGCCTCTGGTCCACACTGACTGCAGTTTTCCCACCCTGGGTACTGAGGAGCTAAGTACCCTGGACGTCTTGGTGACCAGAGAAGTGGTTATAGGGAGCTGTGGTCTGCATGGGATGGTCAAGTAAGCTGTTTGAGAGGCTGCTTCTTGGAATAGGCCCAATGACAAGCCAACGATCGCCTGCAACTACTCTCGGGCAAGCTGGCTGGGAGAGGGAGATGGGGAAGTGCGGGTACTGGGCCAGGAGGGCAGCAGGAGCCTGGACACTGAGCCTGGGCTTGTCCACTCCTGAGCCATTGCTGTACGTGACCATCCTTTGGGGCAACACCGGGAGGGGCTTTAGAGGACCACTTAACTCCCAAGCTTCTTTGTCCAAGTGGCAGACCAAAAGAGGGTGCTCGCTGCTCCCCCCAAGTCTAGGGTGCATACCTATAAGTCAGCTATGGTTGTCTCCCATCAGCTGATTTTTAAAGTAAATCTAAGGTTGATTTTGTTTTACCACAGGTTCAGAATTAGAGTGCCCTCTTGGTACTGTTCTCCAGCCGGCAGGCGGCCCCTCCCCTCACTCATTAAAGTTTCTTCCCTCCCCTAAACCGCCCCCTCTAGGAGTCGTTCCCCACCAGACAGGTGCTTTGGCATCTTTCAAACTGCTTCCTAGAGTGCTGTGCATTCATTCACAGAAACTGAATCAGGGCTCCTGTAACAAGGCCACTCCAAGAAGAAAGAATTGGTGTTCCATGAACATTAGCTTAATTAATGGACTCTGTTGTCATTTATTAGCAAACAGCAATTAAAAAGAGATAAAATAGGCACTGAGGAGGGTCATTTCCTGTCTTGCAACATATATTTGTCAACAAGATGGAAATGGTTCCCAGCCTCTCCAAGAGCCTGCTTGCTCGCCAGTGTCTGTCAGGGAGCTCATGACCAGCCTTGGTTTTGTCTGGTTATCATTTGGATTAGACAAACATCCATTTCTTTTTTGAGCCTGTTTTGTTTAAAAATAGTCAAGGACACAGCAGCAGCCTTTGGTGTCACCTTGACTCTACTGAGAACAGGGTCTTGTCAAAGGAAACACAGCTCCCCACCCCACTCCGCCCGTTGCCGTCCTGGGCCTGCAGTGGGCGGGTCTCCAAGCTCCAGCAGCCAGGGTCGCCCACAGGGCCGTTGGCCGTGGGACTGGCTCCACTGCCAGCCCCTTCGTGCCTTCTTTCATCCCACCCCATCAACCCTCCTCAGCTTGTGCTTCCGACTTCCCCTGATGGCAAAGGTCAGAAAGAAGGAAAGGAGTGGGCAGTGCTACCCCCCAGGGGCTCTGAGGCACATAGCATCTTCCTCAGCCTAACTCTTCCAGTGGCTCTCAGGTTGCATTAAGCCTGCAGCTGAGCTGTGGCCCGAGGGCCCATCAGTGCAGCAGATACAGGGTGGCCCAGGGCTAAGTGTTCTTCCCTGCCTAGAGGCAGCTCTGAACATGTCTTGGGGCCAGAGGCAGGGAACCAAAATGCAGATGATGATAAACCCATTTCTGGTTTTAGTAATTCCTTTAATCCAATCATGTAAGTAATGACTGCCCCCCACCCCCACCTTCACTTATGAGAAAATTGAGATTCAGGTAGTGCTGTCCCACTTTTCAAACTAAAGGCTTGTGACTCCTGGTCTTGGCTACTCTGCAGTGCCATTTGGGGAGCTTGTCTCATATCCTGGAGCCCCACATGTTCTCTAGCCCACAGCAAGCAGGCCATGGTTGAAAGAAATGAGCGCATGGAGCCAGTGCTAGGCAAATGGAATGTCAGATCAGAGGTGTGAGGTTGAGGGGCATATGCCATGTTTGAGGGACGATAGCAGTTGGCATGGCAAGTGGTCCAGGGCAGCCAACAGAACATTGAGAACTCCGGGGTTTCCCATCCAGCATCTCGGGTCTGGTCCACGGGACTGCTAGCTACCAGGAATTCGTTGCAAATGCTGATCTCTGGGTCCCACCCCAGACCTGCTGAAAGTTGGGCCCAGGATTCCACAATCTGCATGTCAACAGTCATCTCCAGGTTTGTTTGTTTTTTATAATCAACACGATTATCGAGCATCTATTACGGGTAGACCTAGGTGTTAGGTGCACAGTAGGATGAGAGGTCTCTGTTTGCCCAGGACAGACCCAAGTTATACCTCATGTCCCAGCCTAATTTTTTTAAAATTTATAATACTATTTCAGTTTTTATATAATTGGGGTTTTTTTAAAGTAAAATTCACTCTTTATAATGTATAGTTTTGCAAGTTTGACAAACACATGTGGTCAAGTAACCCCACCACAATCAGGTGTGAAGCAGTCCTGCCATCCCCCACATTCTCCTGAGTCCCTTTGTAGTTAGCCTTCTCTCTGTCCCCAGTGCTTTACACATATCAAACTTGAAGCCCAGCTTCACTGGGAGTGTGCATGGGAACCCCCTACACGTCTGCGCATGTGTGTGCAGACACAGAGCATCCCTCTGATTCTGATGTGGGCTCCTCCCAGAGCTGAGGACCACAGCTCCCAGCATCCCATGGCATGGACAGGGCACTTCTAATAAAGTGGCCCTGGGGACTTCCTGGAACACTCTTTGAAACAGCTGCCCTCTGTAGCAGGGCATTCTTAAGATAAGGTGCATGCAGTGGAGAGGAATCGAGGTGTGTCGGGCTCTGTGCTGAGGACCTCTCTGATTCTATGGGCTCTGGGGTGGGTACCACAGGTCTTCCCTCTGTTTGTCCTCTGTCAATAAGCTTTATTCATCCTCTCCCCTGTTTTCTGAGAAGCTCACATTCCTTTCCTCAGTTAATTCATCATCAGAATGACAAATGAGAATTCTTTTATCCCATAATTAAATTTAATCCTCTCTGATGGCTTTGTCTCTGAATCGACCCATCATCCAACACCTTGTCTCGATGATACATTGTGCCAATAAGGCAGCCGTGCCCCACTGGAGTGACAGGGCTCCAGCAAGCTATCACCATGTAGGAGGTGCCTGGAAAACACCGAAGTTAATGACATCC